TTGCAAATAGCTTTGCAAAAAAAAAAAAAAAAATCTTCTTGTAACATATCATCAGAAGCCTAATGCCAGTTGGGGTGGGTTGTTATTTTATTTGCCTAAAATGAAGCATGTCACATAGCATTTCATATTATATCTTGAGCCAGAATCGTCTTACTACAGATGGAGTGGAGCGGGGTAAGCCTGACTCGCCATCTAACAGCACTTGCCCCTTCCCCAACTCCTCTCCCCACTAAAATCTGCATGGAACATTACAGACGCAAGTTAAGGAAGCACACAAGGAGAAGGCATGCCCTGCAGCCAGGGACTGGGGAGAGTCCTTGGAAATCTTTGCCTAATTGTTTTGTTTATGAAACTGTGTAGAGGACTTCCAGTGGGTTTCCTAATGAACTGGTTTGTTGTTGAGACTTAGGGCAATGCTGGTAATTACACTAGAAACAGGGGGTTAAGTCTCATCTTCTTTCCCACAAGCTTTCAACTACCAACCATTCAACACACAAACTATGCATTTTAGGTTTTTCTCCTTCTTCTCAAAGTTTAACTCCTCATTTACTTGCAGAATACCTGCCACTCATCTTTCAGGCAGACACTTGCAATTTATGTGCCTTTGTCGCTTTTGAAACCATGGCTATCTGTGAGAGCATTGCCGAACAGCATCTGAGTGGAAGGAAGATTAAACTGGAGCCCAAACTAGTTTATTCTGTCGTATTGGATGAGTATTAACTAGATGTCCAGTAACACGTCTGTAACCTGATAACAAATTTGATTGCTGTTCAAGAGTATTATACTGGGAGGACTTTGTGTTTCTTCCAAAAGCTGAAACTTTATACATTGTCCTGGAAATTTATGGAGAGAAATTTAGGAGTGTTGTCTGCATTAGCAATATGTGTTCCTGTAATATACTGCAAGAATTTCTCGGCTGCCTTTTGAACGTAGCCATCTTTCATTCCCACTAACTTTTGCTTTTAGGCTTCATTGTTATGAAAGAGCAAATACAAAAGCTTTAAGCAAAGATTTTGGTCTGGCATTTAATGGTGGCATAATAGCTGAAAGAACTCCAACTTTAAGTGTGTTGGGTTTTCTTATATTTAAATTTCCATTAAGGCAAAATGGGAGACTGGCTGAGTCTTAACTGTGCAGTGGGCCCTGATTTCATCTAAATGTGAGGGTGTTTTCCATGAGAACCAGAGGTGCCAATTTAAATACATCATTTTTGTGACTATTTCTACATAAGGAGAAGGGTATTTTACATTAACTTTTTATATGTTATGGAACAGATGGGGTTCAGTTTAGTGTTAATAGCTGGGAAGTGAGGGAAATATCATTACAAAAATGACGTTGAAGGTTGAGGTTGAATGAGGCTGCATTTTTCCATATATCATTTCATTTTATTACTGCAAGGAGACAGTCTTTTTATTTGACTGTTATTTTATATAGACTTACTGGGGTTTTTATTTTTAAAAAATCTAGCAAGTAAGATAATGGTTTCACATTCAGTAGCCACAAATTTCCCACTATCAGTCTTTGAGTTATAATTGATGAGACAGGGTTCCTGGTGTGGTCAGATATTTTACTACAGTCTCCAACTTCGAGTAGCAGACAATAATAAGTAGAGGAAGACTCTTGGTTTTCTGTGTTTGAAAAGTGCTTCACTGTGCATTGCCTTACAGTATGTTTGCACATGCTTAGACTGCAAGTTGCCTTTGCATGTTCTTATCCTGTATGGGTAGCCAAGCTGTTAGATTATGAAAAAGCAGAGATGAGCCTAAGAGAAGCCTTCAGAAGATGGAACAAATTAAGTTCCTGCGGATTTGGTGAATAGGGAAGCTCTTCTTGTTGCTGTTTTGAGTCTCAGATCCCCTGTAATCAAAGGCAAAGAGCTAACCCTAAAGCTGTTACATTTTTGTTTTGGTTTTGTCCACCCCGATTTTCAGCACTTGCAGTCGGTCCTTGGAGATCCAAGTTATGAATATTCCGTTGTTTGATCTGTTGCTCTGACAGCCTTGCTGTTCCCGAGCAGTTTGGTGTGGTGGTCTGGCTACCGAACGGGGAACAACGGAGGAAAGTCGGGAAGATATTTGATTAGATCTCGGAGTTCCTTAAATTTCTCACCTGTCATTTTGACATGACAGGCATATCCTTCATGTTGCCGTTTAGTCGTGGTCTGTGCTTTGGGTGACCATATTGCTCTTAAATCTTTCACAGGTCTACTGGTATGTAGGAGTTCTGTGAATACCTGAACGGGGGCTTTGTGGTTCAGTTTTGGCTCACATAAAGGAAATGAGGTTTTGTATCTCTCCTTAGTGGTGGTGTTTAAGTGCAGACGTTCATTTTTTTGTTTGTTTGTTTCTATAAAGTTTAATAAAAATGGAATATGAAAGTGTTAGAATTTGAGGGGGGAAATGGAGTATGGAAGGGTATGTTCTGCAGAAATTGGGATAGGCAGAGACAGAGGTGGGGGGTGTAGGCGTAGTATCTCTTAGGAAATACGTGTGTTTATGACCACAATTAAATACTTTGAAAGAAATGACTCTGCATATGGAAGGGGAGGCAATACATGAAAATGGGTATCATTGACAGGGAAACACAAGCTTGCTATTTTGTCCTGCTTTAATGGAATAGAGCAGGTAATTAATTGCAAAGGAAATTCCTTGCCCTTCTCTACCCGCAGTCTCCTCCTCTGGTCTCCCCCGTTCTCCCTCTCTCACCTCTCACACACACATGCACATTCCCTTTTGCAGTTGTATTGGAAGCATCTGCTGTATTAAGCAGGATCTCGCTGCAGTGTCTGAGGGAAGGGTATGGAAAAATACCCTGGCCGTTACAGGAATGTGAATGTGACACAACTGCAGCAGCTGAGGAAATATAACTGTATGGTCCGGAAGAAGCCCCAAAGGAAAGAGGCTCTGTAAATTATTCATGCTTGCTAGTGTGAAAGCAATAAAATTAAATTAAAATTGAAATATAAACATACGTCACATTAGATTTGTGTAAAGAAAGGAACTTGGCTACTGCAGGCTTCTGGTGTTGTGGTACGCTGGAGATTGCAGCCCACAGTGTCATTTCTCTGAATAGCAGTCGGAATAGCGTCCAGATAGCTCAGTATGTGGGTTCTTGATAATCTGTGTGTGCTTTACATCTTTGTGAGACTCAAGCTGATGGTGGTTGGAGACCTTTAGACCTGTCTGACTTGGGATTTGCTCCACCTGATTTGAAGGAATTGACACCTGTGTGCGGCAGCATGTTGGTTCCAGGTTAGGATCAGAAAGTGGTCTATTCCCCTTTTAAGCCATTTTTCATACTTTGTGAAGGCAGAGGAGGTCAATCTCCATAGCTCGGTGATGATGCGTGCTGTGGGGTGCTCTTCTGTATTCCTCTTCGTAGCAGTGCACAGGTGCTTTTAAAATTTCTTTAGGAAAAGTGATTGAAAATCTGCTCAATACAAATCCCTTAAGCCAGTATTGATGGAGGAGCTTCTGCCTGGCCAGGAATTTGAAGCATGGGCACCATCTGTGTTCCTGCCGTTCTTTGGCCAAATTGCATTTCCAGCCTTTTTGTCCCACACTATTTTTCATTAAATGAATTGAGTTTTCCTGAAAGTGTGTGTCCATAAATACTCCTTCCCACTCAGCACACTCAGGTCAGAGCAGAGCAGAAGGTAGCCAGCGGTCTTTGCAAAATGAGAAACAGGAGTTGGGAGGGAAGTGGGATAGCTGAGAACTGTACAGAAAGACTTTCTCTCTCAGTGGCTTCCTACTACAGTCATAGATCTTTTAATAATGGTAGTGAAAAATGAAAGAAGAAAGGGGAGAAATGAGTTTAATCTCATGCATTTCTGCTAAGAGAAAGAATAGTTTAGAAAAGGTGTGGAGTGAGGGTAAAACAGCTTTGCAAAAGAGAAGTCCTGGAAAGTGGCTATAATTGCCTCATCCTCAGCTTGAAGTTGAAAAGCAATTTAGTGCAAGTGGATACTAAGTAAAGCTTTGCACCTTAGAGTAGAACTAAAAGGGGGCTCAACTTCTCACATACAACAGCAAAGCCTCCACGAGGCAAGCGGGTACTGGTGTATTGCTGTGTCCTTTTCAATCCTGTACCTTCTTCTGAGTTAAAAGTTGGTAAAGGCTACGTGTTCGCTCAGTCTGGTATCTCTGTCCTGGGTGAGAATCCCCTTGCTAGACTCAGACTGTTAGTTCTGTGCTTCCTCAGAGCAAATGGATGTCCAAGTAAAAACGCCTGTAAGTAGTCTTTGTAGAAGCACGTGCAATGGCAAGGGTGTAATTCCAGAGGTTAATTCTAATGAGCGTTTGCTAGTTGAAATGAATAATGCACGTTTTCTTTGGCTTAGGCATATGTGGTTTAGATGCAGAATGTAGTTATTGTTGTAGCCTTTTTTATTTCTCTACAGTCTGGTGAAGGATTTAGGTGCAAGCTCATGATGTAAAATGATGAAGTTTTAACTACCTTGTTCACTAGGTTAGTCTTTTGTTCCTTTAAGGCTTTTTTCAGTTATGAAGTGATGTCAATAATCTCTTTTCAGCCTCAGAAACTCCGCAAGAGACTGGCTTATTGGGGGAACGTAGGTTTGAGATCAGACTCAGACCTGGTCTACACTGGCCAAAGTTATTGCTGTCTAATGACTGTAAGGCAGTAGATGAGCAGTATACTGGGTCTCAGTCACCAGCAAGTTTTAGTTTGGTTGGTGGGCTTAGAGGCGGAAGAACATTCTTGGGAACAGCCTTCAACTACCCTCCGAGAGCGTGGCAGCTTGTGTGGTCTCTGATTTTGCCAAGGGCAGGTAGAGTCAATGCTTTCCATTAAACTGAAATACCCATGTATACATCAGCGTGATTCTGAGCATTGACCCACTCTAGTAACCCACCTTAGACCTTACAGACAAAATGGGCAGAGTGTTAGTTTGCCTTTGGAGAAAGGCAAACAGCCAATGAGAAAAGAAAATGTTCCTCTGATCTGACGTGATGTTGGTGTCTGGATGTCTCTTGCAGTGTACTTGCCGCAAAGACATGGTGAAGATTTCCATGGATGTCTTTGTGAGGGTTCTGCAACCAGAACGTTATGATTTATGGAAACAAGGAAAAGACATTGCTGTCCTGGACCATATGAAACCCACAGCTCTGACTAGCCCAGAACTAGATGCCTGGAATGAGACGAAGGCAGAGTTGAAGGCTAAATTGCTTCGCAGGTAAAGAGGGGGGGAAGTTGTGTCTGAGCGCTGTGTTGATTTTAATTGCTGGTTTTAAATGCTGTAATTCTTATTTTGGGATAGTTTGAACTCTTCTTTTTTTTTTATTTATTAACACTTGCTCTTGTAATTTTTCATGGGTAATGTGCTCCCTCATTGTTCTGTTTCCTTTAAATGTTGCAGAAGCACATGTTTTCTGAAAGTAGGACACTGTGCCCCCTCACATCTCATCTCTTATCCTGGAAGACAAAAAAATCTATAGTAAACATTTATAGCTTCACTTATCAGAAAGCAGGAGGGGAAAAAAACCCATCAATTGCAAAAGGGATTTTATGCATGCCTTTCTGTGCTTCCTTTGATCTCTGTATTAATTTTCTACAAGTTTGTGGTTTTTGTGTGTTACAGCATGCTTGAATTGAAAATTTGGCATGCTAACGTTTTACTGTTGGAATCTTGCTTTATAGGATAGGAGATGAGGAAGAGGACAACAAACACCGGTATGTGACTTCCCTCATCAACTTAAATGACTTCATTCTTTTTCCTGTCAAGTTTCTTAAAACAGTAACTCTGAAAGTGTTTTCCTTTTTTAGTTAGTTTTTTTCATGTCCGCTTTCTTGAAAGCGCACAGAAAATCCTTGGGCATCAAGGTTTCTCAGATTTCATCTTGGTTTCGTGTAGTTTCCTGAGATCTCCTCTTGCATCATTAGAGAAGCTCAGCTATCTCATGTCTGTTCTGGTTTTCCATTCTTGAATGTGCAGTTAGTCTACTGAATTAGTAGTGATGTGTAATGTTGTGGATAAAGCTAACTGGTCACCGAAGCAGGTAGTGAATAAAAAGCTGCTGCTGTCCCAGAAAGTGGACTTGAACTACAGTGTTTTAGACCTGGGCTGCCGATGGGAGAACTTCCCTTCCTCATCAAGCTTGCTTGAAGAATGAGACTCTATATTATAAAAAATCGAATTATCATAGGGCTTTAACGTACTCAGATGTAAAGCGCGCGCCCTTCGTATGCTCCTTCACCCTTCTTTTTTACATCATTCTCATTCCTGCTCTGCCTGTTACCCAGAGTGCTTGCAGTGTAGCGCACAAAGCTTACTTCTTTCTGCTCGCACCTTTTATTTGTTAAATTTCTGGTGTGAGTGTTGGCAGTCTCTGGAAATCGTACAGTTTCATCCAGATGTAATATTCTGCTTGTAATTTCAGTTCCAATATCGCTTCTCTGAAATCCAGGAAAAAAGCTTTAAATAGACCTTAGGTTTCTGGGGCCATCTTCAATAGGAACTTTGAGTAACAGTTTAAAAACTATTGACCTAATGATTTGATGATAGCTGATTTATTTAGGCATTCTAGCAAAGAAAAAGATAACATACTAGTAAGAGCGTCTCTCTTTAGCACTGGTCCTTATTGCCTTTGAGGAGTTTTCAGTCACGTGGTGTTTCTTTGGACTGGTGGTCCTGTGTCTTGCCTTTTCTATGTGAAATGATGTGTCCATTATTTTACAAACTGCAATGGGATAGTGTGTTCTCCATTAAATCTGTGCTCCAAAAGACGTAATAAATAGGGTATTTTGGCAGATAACTGACCTCTGCAATGTCGCTCCACTCCAGAGGTTATATTCCCAAAATGTTTTTAGCTATTCCTTCTAGAGTGAGCTTCAGGAAAAGCAGTGTAGTCTGAGAGTCGGAAGTTGTGACTTATACTCTATGGGCAATGACTGTCTGAACTCCAGTGGGTCCCTGGATCTTTTTCTTCCACATCTGGAAACTGGGAATCTCTTTACTGCCTATGGCTATTAAGGGTTAGTTAGATATTTGTAATGTTTGCATGCTGTAAGGTACTATCTGAACACCGAGGATTATTTTCTCTCTTTGAGCCTATTGCTTAGAAGAGAAACCTCTCTCTTAACCTAAGTTATTGCAAAAGATCCAGGTACTTTTTTTCCCCCCTTACCTATTCATTGTTTCCTAGATGATTTCAGTGTTATCCTGAAGCAGTTTTGAAGCTGTTGAATACTGCTTGGCAGTAGTCTCTCTCCTATACTTATGTCTTGGAAAGACGTATTTTACTTGAAGACTGACTTTTCTCAGCAGGGTGGACTTTACTAGAAGAATGGGATTCGCCTCTGCCCAAACCTCTTCACAGTTGTATCTACTTAATTTTAAGTCACTTTGTGGTCTGTTCTTCAAAGAGTACAAACGCCGCTTTTTTGCCAACTCTCTTGGAAAATGTAGCTTTTAAACTCTGCAGAGAGATATGTTATTTCTTCTCTAAGGTCATTCATACTTAGTTACCTTGAAAAACTCAACTTTGTTTACTTTATGGCTTCAGCAAGAGACTGTTTTAGTCCACAAAAAGCCCATTTCTGGTATGTGAATTATGGCAGATACAGAACATCTTCAATTCTGGAAATGTACAGCCTTCAGCTTGTTCTGGAAGCACAGTTTCTTTAAATGAAGTGCTTTCTGCCTCTTCATTTTTCCACAACTTCTGAGTGAGAAGAGCACTGCAAAAAGATCTTTTTTATCTACTGTGAGTATAAAGCTTTGTGATTTAATTTTTGCCTGGCATTTCTACGCCACGGGAATAAAACACACACTTCACTAAGAATAGCTTGTAACATTTGATTCTACTCCAGTGCTCTTTCTTCACCAACTATGGGAAGCTCCAGCTGCAACGGAAAAGTCTTACAGGTTTATCTCCTCCCACCTTGCTTTTCCCCCACAGAGAAGGTGGTGTGTACTTAGCATATGGGTGAAGAGAAAAGTTGATCCTTCTGGGTTCAGCTGTGTGTTCCTGCTAATGAATGTCTTGCAGGTGCAAAGTTCACATCTATACTTGGAGGGCTACCATATGGTTAGAGTCTAGCAATTATAAATTACTGTGCATATAGATCAACTTTCTTTTCTATTAATTATCCATGTCGGGTTGAATTTTTTTTCTTCCTTCTTTGTTGGTTGCCTGATTAAGGGCTCTTAACTTCATTGTACTCCAAATCTAATTAGCAGCAGAGTTTCTGGGAGATGGGAAGCCGAATTTCAGCTTTTCTAGAGTTCTGGGCGATGAATGCAGTGTGATTGCATTTTACAGTTTGTTACACGATGGTGGATGCAAGGGCCTGGAACAGGGAGGCCATATGGAAGATGCTGCCTTCAAAAAAAAATCTCTACATGCTAAAAATGGTGGAAAAATTGCAGGTCTCTGAATCAGTCTCTTTTGAAAAAGAAAGCTTGTTAGACTTAAACCCAACATTCAGGCAGCTATTTGATAGATCTTGGAAAAAAATTACACCGGGTCTGGCTGAGATGGCGTTAACGTTCTTCACAGCAGCCCAGGGGGCTGCGTTTGGGATCTGTGGCTACGCCAGTGCCGATACGGCGCCCGTGTCTTGGCTGTCGCTGAAGGGTGCTTGCACAGCGTCAAGGCTTTACGCTTTTCCCTCTCTGCCCCCTGCCCAGTGGCTGGGGGTGGGCGAGAGCCTGGGAGGGGACAGGGCTGGGACAACTGACCCAAAGTGGCCAAAAGGGATGCTCCGTGTCTTGTAACGTCACGCCGAGCAATAAAAAATGGGGTGGAGGAAGAAGAAGGGGGGTTGGCTTCCAAGGTGGCCGTTGTTTGGAGACTGGCTGGGCGTTGGTCTGCCTGTGGGAGAGGGTGAGTGCATCTCCTTTGCTTATTTCTTTCTATTTTTATTCTTTCCTCTTTCCTCCACCTAGTAAACTGTCTTTGTCTCGACCTACAAGTTTTCTGGCACTTGTTCTTCCTGTTTTCCCTCCCTGTCCCACCGGGGAGGTGGGGAGTGAACGAGTTGCTGTGTGGGTGCTTGTTCCTAATGCGGTTCCTAACCAAAATACATGATCCTGACTTCTGAATTTGCGTTTGTCTTTGCGTTGTGGCTGCTGTAATCTCTTTGTCTTAGCGGCGTTGGCTCTTTAGAAAGAACAGTATTGCTCTTGGCTTGTTAGTATTAGTCTGATCCTATGAATATGCACAGTTTTAGTTAGACTTCTTCACAGGCCTTGGACCCGGTGAATTATACTACTGAAAAATCACAGACTGCCTATTGATTATGCTATAAGCATTCATTATGCTGTGTTTTTTGAAACTGGCAGTGCTGGGTAATGTTTCAGAGCTGGAAGATGATGCTTTGCAGACTTCCAGCAGTTTGCCGAAGGGAAGCACGTACAGAATGAAAAGAAATGATGGAATGGAGGCAGAGGATGAAAGGAAGATTTATAACAAGTTTTCATCTATATTTTGAAATACAAGCACAACAGATTTAAAATGCAATTAAAATCATTTTAACTGCAGCTTGTGCGCTTACGTTAGTAATGGTGGGAAAAAGCTCTTCAAGAAACCCGGACAATTAATGGCTGCTGTGAATGGATCTTAAATGTTGTGTTATGCAGGGTTCATCTGTTTCCTTTCAGATCTCTGTTTTGCCCTGTGGCTATTGTTAGCCACCTTGTGTTTTCTCTCCAAAGAAGATCCTTTTGTTTTGTATTCAGCTTTTTAAGTCAGTGATTGTTTTATATATTGAAGGCTGTTCTTTTATGTCACATGGCACTTCTGTACTTCTAGGTCTCACAGAAAAAGAAGTCAACCCAGAAGACATAAAACAGAGGATCAGAAGTCTCTTGGGGATGTCATGGCTATTGAAACTGCCTTGGAAGATGTGAAAGTAAAAGAGGAGCTGAAAAGAGGGCCAGATCTAGAGGAAGAGGAGAGAAGCAAAGTGATTGAGGGAGGAGAAGGTGAGGGCCCTTGCTCACTGATGGCAGACGACTTCAGTGAAGAACTGGGGCAAGCGATCTCTCTAAAACACATTTGTAAATAACTTGTCGGCTGTTGTTTATTTCTGTTGAAATATCAGTGGAGTCTTTCCCAATATTAAATCTATGCTCACTGAAATACACCATCATTTACAGCAGCAATTGATTTTTCCCTCTCTTTAAGGATTCAGTCCAAATAGCTTTCTTGGCAGGGCTTGAAATTTCTGCCAAAACTATTACAGGTTTGTAAAAATATATATTAGGGGAGGAATATTTTTAAATATTTCATAGAGAAACAAATAAATATATTTTGTGAACTACTCTGAAAAGGAATGATTTGTGCACTCCCTTGTGCAATTAATCCTTTCCCTCCCTCCCTCCCTCCCTCCCCGTTTCTTGCAGAGACTGTGAATAAAGTCCGCCTTGGGTTGTGTGGGATCCACAGCTGCTGCATGCCTGCAAGTTGCAGGTTTGGGCTTCTTCAGGTCTAGCTGTAGGAGGGAAGCTTTTCAGCTTTCTTTGCATGGTTGAAGTTAATACCAGTCCTGACAACTCCTAGTCTCTTATGATTTCTTCTGCATAAAAGCACAGGTTCCAGACTGGTTAGGAGAAGGCAAAGAGGAGTAGGAGCTGATAAAACAACAGAGCTGGTTTCCACAAAGCTGTGGCTAAATTTGTGTGCAACCCTTGAAAAGTCACTTAACCTTTCTCTGCTCATTGACAGATCTGTACACTGGACATAATAGTTTTTAATACTGTAGTCCTCCTGTAAGAAACAGTGTCTGTAAAATTCTTTGAAGCCGTTTGCTGGAATACACCATGACTTAAGGCAAAATAGAACTGAAGGCCTGTTGCAAAACTAGGGAATGTCTTGGTTTGTGTTTTGTGTATGACCTGTTCCTGATACATATGGTTAGTCGGAAGGCCTGACCTCAGCCATCTTGCTGGAGGCTTTTTTTGTGATACTTTTTTTTTCTTGGCTGTATATGAAAGGTTGCAATTCTTGCTGGGAGTAAGCTGCCTTTTTCCCCCCCCCTAACATGCATGGTTAGGTAGTTGATGCATCTATTGGGCACTCTCTCTTTGAGGCACTCTCAAGCATTTCATAAACACTAGTGAATTCATTTTCATATATTGCATATATCCATTATTGGTTTAGCATTTGGAGAAAACTGATGCTGCAAACTGTTTAGAGAACCTTGATAATGATCTTAAAGGAAGCCTGTGGAAGCTTTGGGAAAAGAATTGAGGTCTTTGTGGAGTTCCAGAGTCTCTTAGCTAGACAGCGTGGTTTCTCTTTTCATGGGAAATAAGGAGTTTGAAAATCATTGTTCTACAGAGCAGGAGTAGCACAGTGCAGATAGTTAATTCCTATTGCCCTAAGCTTGAAAGTGTTGGCAGTGTGTTAAATTGTATGCTCTTAGCTCTTGTACAAGTTTAGCAAGTTTAGCAAACAAGTGATGTTTGTAATAAATGGCCCGAAAATGCTGATATCCCTTTGGAGACAACAGATAAGTGACAAGGACAGATCTGAGATCTTTAGGATGGCAGAGGAACAAGAAAGACTCTGTTCTAGCCAAATCATACACTTAGACTACATGTTAAGAGCTCTTTAACTGTTAGCACAGGAGGGAAAAACTCCTGTTCAGCACCATTGCAGAAAGCGTCACTAGAACTCGACTGTTTGCTTGGCAGTTTCTGCGTCTAGTGCTCATGTGGCTGTTAGCAAGCATACAAGTTTCTTAATGCAATATAGCAATTAAATACCCCTGAATTGTCTCGTTTTCTACATCCTACTGTCTGCATCACCTCTCACAAGTGTCTTACAGTTTCATCTTGAAAAAGAAAATAGCATCTGTTTGGATGGCCCTGCTCATGGCAATTTAGCTTCCCCCCCGCCCCGCCTTCGCTTACTTTTTCTTTTCCTCTGTTTTTAATTTGGCTTGATGTCCTACTTACACCAGAAAAGATGACCTTGAGAAGGAGGAAGAATGAGATTTCAAAGTAATCATTGGTGGTTTCAAAGTAGGTCTTTTGCTTCGTGTTGGTTATTTGGACTAGCCGAGTATTAATAACTTGAGGTTTTCAGGTTTTCTGACCCAGATACCTTAAGGTGTTTTCTTTTGGTTTTATGACTCAGCTTTATATTCATAATTTATTATGTCGCTATTAATGCATTTAGATCTCTTAGCAGGTTGTCTTGGGACTTGAAATGAAAAAGGAGTCTCTAAGCTCTGCTCTTCCCTGGGTGCGCTAAGCAGCGTGAATACATCCTGGGAGTCAGCAGGTGTTCTCTGCGATGCCGCGCCTGTTACCGTCCTGCAGGCTTGGGCTGCAAACCACGTCTCTTACAGGAGGATTCTTTTTCTTTCTTTTATGATGTGAGAAGAAGCAATGAGATGCCTAACTGCAAAACAGTTGTGTGTTATTTCCTACCGCATTTCATTAAATGGCATTCCCACATATCCTCGAATGTTGCAATTGTAAACTAAGTATGCAATTACATGACGTGATACTCTGATCAAGATGCCAGTAAACTAGAAAGGAAAACTTTTCTGCTGTTAGCTGTATATAATAGCAAATTGGTGCATAACTGATTTTTAGGTGACCGTTTGCTACGTCAGGATTTTACTTCAGACAAGATCTCAAGAGTTGGCCATTAGCCAAGTGACTTGTCTCTCGCTGATTTTTCTCCAGTGTTGCTTAAGCTGGCAATGTAAAGTCATTAAGAGGTGAGACCGTTTAATGTGCTGGAAGGATTGTCATGAAACAGTGTCATGGCACAAGAGTTTGTCTTGGAGACTTTCTGGACCCTTCTAGCATCATGTAGAGAAAATAGAGCCTTTTCAGAAATCTGCTGGCAGTTGCTGTGGCCATCTGCATATTTATAGTACGTGCTGTATGAAGTTCTGATAACAACTGAGCAGATACAACCCCTAGAAGCAAGTAGAAGGTGTTTTCCTACCACTTCTGCTTTCTGCTCTTGTATCAGTCATGTTCACGTATTCTTTTAGTATAGATGATGTACAGGATATAAACACTGAGTGTAGGGATTGCTTTTAAGGTAACATTCTCTTCCTAGAAGTAAGTAATGCTGTTTAAGTGAAAACGTGAACTCTCTGTTTAGGAGGAACTTTGGGATGGTAGAATAGTCTTTGTGATTGCTTCATCTACCACACAGTCTCTCACATGGATTGAAGAAAAACCCTTCAGTGCAACTGTTAGACACACACAGACATCTTGAAGAATGCAGTGCCGTATTAGAGGGATGTACTGGCAAAATTCTCCTGCTTTCTCCTGTGTTTAGTTTCATCTTATCTAGTGCTTGTGCTTCTGCTGGATTAATAAACCTAATTTACAGATGCTTTTTGAGCTGTTGACAGTAAAAATTATTTAACTAAAGTTGTGGCTAAATTAGTGATGCTGAAGTCCATTTCTAATTCTCGTGACCCAATACCAGGAGATAGTGTCCTAGCCGATGAAGTCCGTACTCTTTGTAGCAGCTTTCTATAATCTCATTGCCCAAAGCTATGCTGTATGGTCCTGTGTAAGTGGTTTGATTTCCCCACCAACACCCCTTCCCCTCAAAGTTATTGTATACCTGCAACTTTAGTGAACTCAGTATAGTATTTCAGATTATCTCTAGACAAGCAAGTCTTCCCGCCATGAAAAAACATTGTTATGCTACTGTTTTCTGCGTGTACTAGCTCTGCCAGTGGTGCCTTTCTTCAGCGGAAGGACGGCTGATAGGCATTCCTCTGTTAACCTGCATACTGATTTGTGCATGAAGATCCCTTTCCTGTCTAGGAGTATTCTTGATAGCCAGATAGGACCTCTGAATTTTACCTCACATTTCCTGGCTTCTGGTTTTATAGATTCACTTGCAAACTAGTTTGTTCATCTTAATGCAAAAACTTGTAAACAAAGTTCTACATGCCAGCTGCTGTCAAATTACCCATTTAGAAGTCAATAAAGCTGGTGAATGGCGTTTGTTTTGTTGTTGGGTAGAAAATCCTCTGAGTGTACAGAGAGTAAATATGATCTGGTTTTGTGCAACTGGGGAAAAATCCAATTTGCCTTTCATTGTTCATATGCTTGTTTCTCTAAGGAAATTCAATATTCCTTTCTTTGTGATAGAACAAACCAGTTTATCTGAGGGACTGCCTACACAAGTACAACAATAACTATTTGGGATGGACTTGTTCCCATTTTTATAAATTAGTGCAAATAAAGTCATCAGACCAGACTTCTGGGAAATGTCGAGGTTGAGGTATCCCCTAGAAGATTTCAGCAGGGATTTTAGCACTTTATCTTATTGCGGTATTATTCACCTTCTCTTCTCAAATGCTTCCTCATGCAGATAGCTCGTTGTCGTGTGGTGGTTTATCTGATTTTCTGGTTATGAGCTTTGGCTGGTCAGCTTTGGTTTAGTCCTTAGTGGAGGAGTCCGAGTAGGTTGGGATTGGTGAAGCATCATTTTTAGGGGGAATAGGCTTTCTCTGTCTTTTGTTGTCATCAGCCCTCCTCCCCATCCTCTTAGTGGGAAAATGACCTTTTGTGGCAGTCACCTAGTCATAGCATCTGCAGATGAAAAACAACCTCTTATGAAATAAATTGAGCGCTGGCATCTGTCTGTGGAGCATCTATTATTTACTTTCCTTTGAGTGAACCGATAACTTCATTCATGAAGCGGGGGAAGAGTTGGGTAAAGGGAACATACATCATTTCAGATGGAATAGGGCAAGATGTGAAGGCGTCTCCTGGCCTAACCTAGAGACACTTGCTCAATGGCCAGTAGGAGCTTTAATTACTGCTGTAAAATCCAACTGCATGGATCCTTTAACAGAGTTATATTGGGAAGATAGGTGGGGAAGACTTTTATGGGTCGTTACTGCCTCTGTTAAAAATATTGCGACGTCTAGCTGTTCAAGAAGTGTTTTTCTTGTCGCAGCCATGTAAGAGACCTGCAGCGCCATGCAGAT